ATTATAAACTTTTGAAATATTTTTATTAAATATTTTTATTTTTGACTTTTATGGGCTTGGTGATAATATTGGGGGTATTAACAGACACCATGATATCTCCCTTTTAAAATAGAAAAAGAGATTGAGAATACAGAGTCCTCAGAGACACTGGCGGAACTACCAGGGTCGCAATTGTGACCGGGCCCTGGCGTTCCGCCTGCTGGGGGGGGGGGCCCAGCGAGGAAGAAGAGCCCCCCCCGAGATCGTGCCACTCCTTCCCTGCCACTCTGCCCGCAGCATGTACGGGCGGCTGTGCGGGAGGACTGGTCCCATAGAATGTGCTGCAGGCACCGCCGGGCAGCACATTCTGATGTGTGAGGACCCTCTTCAGTTAGCTCCGCCCCCTGGCCGCCAAGACGAGGAAGAGGGCTTCATGGTTTCTTGCACCGGGACCCTGAAGGTTCTAGTTACGCCTCTGCCCAGAGACAGAGTCCCCAATCTCTTTTTCTGCAGCCCGTGTTATCAATGAACAGGTATCCTCTATACTGAGTGTTCCTGATCATTCATAACATGAGGACAGAGTATGTTTACTATAACCACAATTATGAATGAACAGGAAGTGATGTAGAGGTGATGTAGATCACTTCCCATTCATTCATAATTGAGGATATAGTAACCATACAGTTTCTCTCCTCCCCGCTGGGACACAGAGCAGCGCCCAGCGGGGAGGGGAGAAAGAAAGGGTGCGCCGATGTATTGGCAGGAAAATGGCACTTTCGGCATTTAGCCAAAAGTTCCATTTTCGGACGATATTTTTCGGTGGCCGATGTATCGGTGCATCTCTGGTACTAAATAGTGACTCTTCTTTACTATTTCTCTCTCCCGGGTCTATCAGTCAGATCATGTGACTGAAAACAAGGCACCGCCTATGTGGCTAATTAAACCTATCGCAGAGTGTGTATAGGCAGATTGTCAACTGCACTTCCAGACACCCAGACAGACACACAGACAGACAGACAGACACACAGACAGACAGACAGACAGACAGACAGACAGACACACTGACAGACAGACAGACAGACAGACAGACAGACAGACACACTGACAGACAGACAGACACACTGACAGACAGACAGACACACAGACAGACAGACACACTGACAGACACACTGACAGACACACTGACAGACACACTGACAGACACACTGACAGACACACTGACAGACACACTGACAGACACACAGACAGACACACAGACACCCAGACAGAGAGGGGGGAGAATCTACAATTCTGTAGGGAAAAAAAAAACTTAATATGACAAGAATGTCAACTTTGAAAAATGATTTAAAAAAAATCAGATGAATGTTATATCAAAAACTCTAAATCTGCTCTCTTTTTTAAAGTGCCGCTTGTCGTGTGGGTTGGATGACCTCTGGCATCATTTAACCTATGCTTGATCCCAGGCCTTCATAGACCAGTGCCCTGGGGGAGGGGTCATCATTCCAACTTGGGCTCTCGGCATAGGCATGGCGTCACTCTCTGCAGCATTCAAAGATTCAACCATTGCTGAGCCATGACGGCACGCCACCAGTGCCGTTACCCCGCAGTCTCCGGAATAGACAATGAAGGAGCAGCAACAAAGCGATGAGTCATCCCTCTGCTCACCCCACTCTCTCCTCCTCTCAGCATGTTCCCTGTAAGCACATGTGGTGCCTGCGTTCCGGTCCAGTGCGATCTGCAGAAATAGTGCATGCGCAATTTTTGCAGATTGCACTGGACCGGAACGCAGGCACTAATGTGCCACACGTTCTGGTGCAGGCGATCGCACTACGGGCGTGGGGCGTGGCTGCGGCGGGGGGGGTGGGTGCGGTGAAATTGACTTAAATGCACCGCCACGCGCCCCCCCCCCTCCCCCCCTCCTGAAGCCAGCCGAGTTGCGTTCCAGAGGATGAACGCTCTGGAACTCGCTCTTTGTGGTGTGAACCGGCCCTTAAAGAAGGCCTCCATGATTTAAAAGAATCAATCCTTGCAGTGGGGCGGGTGCAAGCATTGCGAGCACCCCACTGCAAGGGTTAAATGCTTATTTTTCTCTAGGAGAGGGAACAAGAAGGAAATATTCGCCCAATCGTCTGCGCTCCAACTGTAGTATGTCCCTTGGCGTTCTCGCGTCTAAAAGAGATGACATCATGGCTCCTTAGGCCACTGGAGCCCGGAGGAGAAGAAGTTGCAGGGACCGGTCTAGCAGCAAGACAGGACTGAGAGAGTATTCCATCTTTATTGTCACCCCCTGGACATAACAAGCAGTTAACCCTCGCAGTGCAGGGGCAGCCCCACTGAAAGGGTTCATTTGAAAGAATCCTTGAGTCGCTCTTTTCACCAGTGACAGGAACAGACCTTCTTTCCCAGTCCAGCCTCATCTGACGAAGGTTTTGGAGCCCGTGAAACATGTTGGATGTGTTCACCGTGATAATTCAAGGTTATCTGCACTGCCATCAATATCTTGGGGCTCTCTTCTACAAATGACTCTCTGGCCTGTCAGTAAGTGGCGCACTCTTTACCTTCACAAGTTCAATGCTTGCTGTGTGGATCAAGTCGTCACCTTGTCTGACAAACCGCGGGTGAGGCTTCTCCTTCACTATGAAGATGATGTCCGCCGGGATAATGTTCGGACCCTAAAACAGCAAACGGACATCAAAAAATCAATGCCAGACCTAAACCTAAGCTGAGTCTACACAATGGAGTTGAATGATCCCCCTGGAGTTGACTGCTGCGCTCTCTCCTTGTGCAGGGTGACTGGTCTTGTCTCCGCCCCCTCCTGTAATAAAGACCGCTCACTGCTGCACTCTCTCCTTGTGCAGGGTGATTGGTCTTGTCTCCGCCCCCTCCTGTAATAAAGACCGCTCACTGCTGCACTCTCTCCTTGTGCAGGGTGATTGGTCTTGTCTCCGCCCCCTCCTGTAATAAAGACCGCTCACTGCTGCTCTCTCTCCATGTGCAGGGTGACTGGTCTTGTCTCCACCCTCTCCTGTGTAAAGACCGCTCACTGCTGCTCTCTCCTTGTGCAGGGTGACTGGTCTTGTCTCCGCCCCCTCCTGTAATAAAGACCGGTCACTGCTGCTCTCTCTCCTTGTGCAGGGTGACTGGTCTGGTCTCCGCACCCTCCTGTATAAAGACCGCTCACTGCTGCTCTCTCTCCTTGTGCAAGGTGACTGGTCTTATCTCCGCCCCCTCCTGTAATAAAGACGGGTCACTGCTGCTCTCTCTACTTGTGCAGTGTGACCGGTCTTGTCTCCGCCCCCTCCTGTAGTTTTCTGTAGTGGGTAGAGCCAGTGGGGTCCCTCCCACAGCTCTGCTATGTACAGTACAGTGATGATGACTTTTGCAAGGCAATACATAGGCTTCCAAAAGGCATTCTGTGCACGCAAAGTGGATTTGCATCCTTTCTGGCTAATGAGAAATATATTTTCCACTCATCCTCATAGTTAGAGCCGACCTGTGACAGAGAAGCTGTCACAGGTCGGCTCTATTGATCGGGAAGTGAGCAGAAACATGCCGCTGATCCACTCACTTCCCGATCGTCTCCCTGCAGCGAGCAGTGACTGTCAGTCACCACTCCCCGCAGGGATTCCCCCCTCTCTGATCCTCCAGCGCTGACTGGCGGAACGGACGGGGGAGGGGGCGGGCACAGCTGGCTCTGCCTCTAGATAGGCAGAGCCAGCTGTCACTCACGCAGCTGTGTGGAGCCAGACAGTATTGTCAGGATCCGTCCCGGCTGTGGCGTCTCAGTATATTGCAGGCTATAGCCCAATATATACTGAGCTTTGGGTCACGGGAGGAGGTAAATATATGTCCTCTCGTGACCCTAAGGAGAACTATGGGGAAAAACACTTACCCCATAGTTCTCTTTTAAATGTAAATTTTCAGCTTTAGTGGTGTGAGCAAAATTATTTTTCTATGCTCCCCACGTGTATGACCTTTGAAGATTTGGGGTCCATAAACAGGTTTTTATTCTATGTGACCTGTGGTGGTATTTTGTTATGTGGCTGTTCCTATTATGATGGGTGCAATAAGCTGCCCTTACCTGGTCCCCCTCCTTGGGGAAGGTGATCCTGGTTCCCGGCTTCCAACCACACTGGACGTCGATGGAGAGAATTTTATCCCGTATGCTGGATGTGTGACCGTCTTCGTTCATTACCTGCCGAGGACAGGAAGGGGGTCATGTAAACCTAGACACATAGTGAGCCACCTGTACCCAGCAAGACCTGTCTTCAAGGACCAGTCCACCCTTATGTAATTTCTTCTATCACTTTTCCTTGTGTAGGGAAGTAATAGGTCAGAGTTTCCGGCTCTATAATATATAATATCTTCTCCATAATGTAAAATGAACGTGGACTCCAGTGGATAAAATGTAAGCGCCACACAATGGTCACTTCGGGTGGGCGGAGCTGGGAACTCAGTGAAGGGATTTTAGCAGAGCAGGTTTGAGGAGACATAAAGCCTAGCGGGTGGTTCTACCTGGACGTTCAGTCATCTTTTATAAAGGACAGCTTCAACCAGAGCTGCTTTTATATTATTAACCAATGCCAGGGATCCAATATTATTGGATAAGAAAAGAGGAAGAACATCTGTTGGGCTGTTATTGCTGTCTGATGGGAAGGTTTCCTGTGTGCTCAATGAAACAGGAAGTGAGGGGAGATCTCCCTAGTCATGGGGCCAAAATTAACCCTTTGTCAACCCAAATACCAAACAGGTCTCTGGAACCCAACACCCA